TTCAGTCATAAACATTATTGTACAGATCTGCTACAAAGTTTTTAACTGTATGTATATATATTATTTATAAAAATGTAGATAGGATTCCATTTGGATTAGGAAAAAAAAATAAAAGGAATTGTGCTAACATCAGCTTTGTGAGTTGTGATGTCCCTTGCATCTTTCCTGCATGTCTAATTACCATTCTCCATATGTAGGAAACACAAACAAGAAAGTTTCCAACATAGGATGATGGGAGCTCTGCCACCTCCCCTGTCCTTTGAGGTCCCACACTCCACCCCAGAGGGAAGGTAAGGTTAATGAGTCCAGGTCCCAGCAAGGCTGTGAAACATCTGGCAGCACCTTCTTAACACAACTAGGCTGGGTCATGAGATCCAGAACGTGGGACTCAAACCTCTGGAGTCAAAATTTCTTGTAAGAATTGCTACACATGGGCTGGGGTTGTAGATCAGTGGTAGAGTGGTAGAGCACTTACCTAGCATGTGTGAGGCACTGGGTTTGATTCTCAGCACCATATATAAAACAAATAAATCAATAGAGTCCATCAATAACTAATAAAAATATTTTTAAAAAAAAGAATTGCCAGACAGGAATCTCATGGAATCTACAAACAGGGCTCTGGCCAAAGAGTGTTAGAAGGTAGCAATCTGGTAATTTACAACAGAGCCATGGATACCACCAAAGTGTGGTGCCTTCTGATGTGCTTTTTGCTGGTAGTAAATTTTCATGAGATTACTTTTACATAGCTTGCTTTCTAAGAAATCATATTAGAATAGATTTTTGGATGCTGTCTATACTTAACTAGGACCTGTCACCACAGAAACACTACCCGGGTTGGCAAGTTGAGTTCACATGAAATATATTGATTCTCTACTGAGAAAGGTTCTGAGTCATGTGCTAGGATCAATTAGTGATATCTGTAATAGGAGTAGTAAGTGGGGGTATATACTCCCCTATTCATCCCCAGCCCTTCCTTGTGTATTCTATACACAGCAGCCAGAGAGATGCCCACTTCAACTGACAGTAAAAAGTGCAACTGTGGGGTAATAGGACCTATTTTATGAGGTTTTAATGAGATAGTACTGAACTTCCTGCCTTTAGCCCACCTCCCTGTATTTTTTTTTTTTTTTTTGGCAGTGCTGGGAATGAAATCTAGGGCCTCATGCATGCTAGGCAAGCACTCTCCCACTGATATAACCCCAGCCCTTCCCTGTGTATTCTATACACAGCAGCCAGAGAGATACCCACTTCAACTGACAGTAAAAGTGCAACTGTGGGGTAACAGGATCTGTTTTATGAGGTTTTAATGAGATAGTACTGAACTTCCTGCCTCTAGCCCACCTCCCTGTTTTTTTTGTTTTGTTTTGTTTTGTTTTGGCAGTGCTGGGAATGGAACCTAGGGCCTCATGCATGCTAGGCAAGCACTCTACCACTGATATAACCCCCAGCCCCTCCCTGTGTATTCTATACACAGCAGCCAGAGAGATGCCCACTTGACTGTCAGTAAAAAGTCAAGGTCTTTATAAGGTCCCTGTCACCCTGTGAGATCGGGATTTAGGAAAGGCTGCTTTAGACTACTTCTTCCTATGCTGGGAGGAACAGGGTCAGGTTTCCAGGGATATAAAAAAGGAACTGCTCATTAAATTACCTGCCATGAGTTGGTAATTGACCTTCTGTGGTCACACCATAGGTCAAAAGGCCAGGTTCTCAGGCTGATAATCAATTCACCAGATTGGCCAAAACCCAACTGCCCAAAAACTACATCGTCATGGCAACAACTTTCCCCAGAATCCAGATGCAAATTAAGCCTGAAGAAAACTGATTCTCTAGAAAACATTCCGCTTGAAGTCCCAGACCTTGTTGGGGCTTTCTGTGAAGGAGGGGAAGTTCCAAAGACCTTTCAAATCCTCCAGAGTCTGAGAATTGGGCTTCCTCTTTCCTTCATTTCAAAAAGAGAAACAGATAAAACACAAAGACACCAAAATCAGACAGAAGCAAACATGAAACCCCCAAATCCCAGATTCTCAGGCAGATGTAGGAAAATTTAGACTGACCAGGATTTTCTGGTGCAAAAAAAAGTCCTTTCTAATTGTTTACCTTCTTAGTTGTAACCTCTAACCTCACCCTTCCCTGTGTAACCTCCTTGTTCCTCAGTCACTGTCTCAGGTCAGAGTCTCTGTCCAATACACTCACAACACACACCCAACTCATTACATGCAGTTCCAGGGACTTTCAGACCAGGAGTTCAGAGATCTCAGAAGTATAGAAGACAGAGAGGAGCCTCCCAACATGTGAAGAACTAATTTTACCACTAAATAGCTGTGTGAGGCCAGCTCAATCAATGAGCATGTCCAAGCTTCAGCTTCCTCATCTATGAATTAAAGATGTAGGTGGTGCTTTGCTCCAATGATTTTTTTTTTTTTTTTTTTTTGGTACTAGAGATTGAACCCAGGGGCACTTAACCACTTAGCCACATCCCCAGCCCTTTTTTTGTATTTTATTTTGAGACAGGGTCAAGCTGAGTTGCTTAGGGCTTCACTAATTTGCTGAGGCTGGCCTTGAACTCATGATCCTCCTGCCTCAGCCTCCTGAGTCACTGGGATTACAGGCATAAGCCACCATGCCTAGCCAGTCAATGATCTGGACCCCCAGGAAGCCATCTGTCACCAGCCTCTGACCCAACAGCTGACCACCAAAGCCTGTAACCAGCCTGTAACCTCTTCCCCAAAGTAAGATCCAATCTACCATCTCTAAAGAACTGAGCAGCTGTCATTCTTTCCACTACAACCCTTGCTGAACACCAAGGGATAAAGTCCAGACTCAGTTCCCAATGCCTCTGTCCCTGACACACCTGAGCATCCAAGACATCAAAAGGAACATAACAACAAATCAAAGGACTACTTTGCAACCTCTTCCTGCCAAGACTTGCTTTCTAATTGCTGTTAATTGCAATAATTGCATAGCTCTGAAGTTTAAGGCTCCTCCTCCTCCCCCCCACCCCCTCCTAGTCTGAGGCAGGGCAAAGGAAAGGAGTTACAACAACAAAAGCTCCACACAGCACATCTCTTCTTTTCTGCTCCTGACCTTAAGATTTACTCTGTGGGGCTGGGGATGTGGCTCAAGCGGTAGCGCGCTCGCCTTGCATGCGTGCGGCCCGGGTTCGATCCTCAGCACCACATACCAACAAAGATGTTGTGTC